CAGAAATGACCCATATTGCTGCAGACCTGAAAAGATCATTTTAAGCAGCCATAACAGATCTAAAAGAAGATCTCCATACTTTATCAGCACAAATGGCAACAAATATAAAAGCTGGTATACAGAGAGACAGAGCCATATCCAGGCTTGAACATATCACTGAATCTCATGCCACACATCTAATTGACATAAATCGCCACCTGGTAGATTTAGACAGGGAGGAGGAATAATATCAGAGTGAGAGGTATACCAGAGACAGAAAATGCAGAACAAATTCAATCAGCTTTGCAATCCATCTTTAATAACATATTATAGAAACCCTCTGACTCTGTAATTGAATTTGACAGAACACACAGAGCCCGGAAACCACAGGGAGCTGAAAACGCACCTCCAAGAAATATTATTTGCTGTGTTACTAGCTTCCTGTTGAAGAAAGAGATATTAAAAAAAGCAAGACAAAATGAGCTCATAACCTGGGGAGGAAATCTCCTTATTCCAGGATCTCTCTTCTATTACTTTGAAAAATAGGAGAGCGATACGCTCTCTTCTGGCGGTTTTGAAAGAAAAAGGCATCACATATAGATGGTGTTTTCCTTTCACCCTGCAGGCAACTTACAATGGCAAACAATACATCCTAAAATTGCCTAGTGAGATACAAAGCTTTAGTGACAATCTACAACTATCATACATGGCTTTACCAGATTGGTATGAGGAATTTAAGCTTTTAACAATTTAACAACACCATTCTCTGTACCATCAACATATCAGTCCTCTCCAGCTAAGTCAACACAGAAGAAAGTCAGAAGCTACAAGCAAATTGGATATGGTTCCAACTTCTCATCTCCAAAATATAAGCAACCCAGAGTCAGGGAAGATTGAGGAGACTTGACCCCAGATTCTTTTGAGTGCAAGCCCTCTAAAATCTTCCATCCTGTTTTCACAACAAGAGATTTCTGCCTTCATGGATATCTACCCAACCGGATTTGGTATCCTCCAATAATTTGACCCAAGTTCTTCGATGCCTTCTGGAACCATACAAGTGCATGCACATATTTGTGTTTACTCATATGCAATTGCCTACACACGCACCCCCATTCTCTCCCCCAACCCCTTCCCCCTTTTTCTCTGCCCCCTCTCCGATACCCTTCCTCACCCCTTTCCCCACCCTTATTTCCCTTCACCCCCACCCCTTCTGCCCCGCCCCCTCCCCCCCCCCTCTCACCTCTCCTGTTTGACATTTTGGTTAACAGTTGTTAGCTGTGGATGCTCGGCTCCCCAACAATGTTTGAGTATACAACTCCATAGATTCTGTTAGCTATTTTAGATAACCTGTTAAATTTCAGCCATAATTTGTGCTAACTTCTACAGAGCTCATTAGCTCCTCCCACTAGCCCCCCAATTGAGCAGAGTACCACAATTCATATAATTTACACTCTACTTAAGACCATCTACTACTGCTGTTTTTCTAACCTTTAGATACTTCGATAGTTTAGTATCAGAGGTTGTTTTAGATTCTGTTATTTTTTTCCACCTCCTGTTCTACAGGAGCATTGTATCTACATCAAAACAGTCTCATCACTGCATTAACATGGCCTATTCCTGAACTGGTAAAAACCCGCTACTTGTATCTCAAAAGGTTAGGGGTTTAAACACACCAGAAAAAAGATCCCAACTTCTAAGAGAGCTCAATAAAGTTAAACCCTGGGTGGTGTTTTTACAAGAGACATTTTAAGACTCAACATATCCCTAAATTATACAATAAACTTTTTTCTAAAACATTCCACTCAACTAATGACTTAGCAAAATCTAAAGGGGTTGCTATTCTTATTAACAAAGATTTTAACATCTCTATCATGGACAAACTAATTGACCTGGAGGGAAGATTTGTGTTTCTGAGAGGTTCTTGGGCTGGTAAACGTTAGCAAATGTTTATTTTCCCAATACAGCTCACATACCTTTTTGCCAAAGAATCATTGATGAACTAAAAGGCTTTGCTAATGGGTGCTTGGTCTTGGGAGGCGATTTTAATATACCTCTGCACCCTTTAAAGGACACCTCTAAAGGAAGGACTTGCATTGCCTATAAGGTCCTCAAAAAGATAAAATTACTTCTCAGTTCCTTGTTATTGCTAGATACATGGAGAACACTAAACCCCAATGGCAAAGACTATACATGTTATTATCCTCCACATAACAGATACTAATGCATCAACTATTTTTATTACACAAAGAGACCTCCCTAACCTAACAGAGGCAAAGATTGGGATACAATCCCTTTCAGAACACACACCAGTCTCCCTTAATTTGACATTTGCAGGACATTTAACTGGAGACTTAACCCAGCATTATTAAATGATGATATTATGAAAATGGTGGATAGCACCATTAAGACGTACTTTGAGACCAACAAGACAAATTAACTTTTACAGATTACAGTTTGGGAAGCTCACAAACGTGCAGTTAGAGGAGAATTCATTAAGTGGGGAGCTAGAAAGGAAAGAAAACATGAACATAAAATTTGCAAACTTTCTAAAGATATAGACATTCTGAAATCGCAACATAAAAACTCACTTTCAACTCTCTTGGCTGACAAATTAAACGATGCACGGCAAAATTTACAAACGATTCTTGACACAGGCTACAAACGTTCCTTATTCTTCAAAAAGTGGATATATTATGAGAGTGGAAACAAAAGCGGAAAGATCTTAGCTAAAGCCCTGAAAGATGCTAAAATGATTATATTATAATATATTCGGTATAAGAAATATTATTCGGTACTAGAAATCCGAATGATAGATGCGACACTAGAGCTATAGCATCCATTTTTCATCAGGACTACACAACACTATACAACATCCCCCCACAACAAAAACCCAGGGACTTAGCGAGTGAGAAAATTGACATAATCAAGGAATTCCCAAGATGCCTTCAATCTCAACCGCAGACACTCAAATTCTAGAGAAACCCATAGAGGAAAAGGAATTGGCTTCAGCCATAGAAGGATTAAAACCTGGTAAAAGCCCTGGACCAGATGGTCTTACATCTCAATATTACAAGACCTGCTATAACACCTTAACACAACCACTGCTTCAAACTTTCAATTCTTTGATCAAAAAACAACCCCTACCTGATTCTTTCCTGCAGGCCCAAATTTCGGTTATACCAAAAAAAGACAAGGACCCCTCTGATTGCGCAAACTATAGACCAACATTGATCAAAAACTACTTGCAAAAATAATAGCAAACAGACTAACACTGCTACTATGTAAAATCATTATACAAATATATAAAAATGCAGCGCTGTATAGTATTTGCAAATGTAGATGACAGTAGTAAACTACAAATAGAAGGTCACACAAGAAATACAGTTCTGTATTGGTGCTTGTTGTTTTTCCAGTACAAATGATAGAAATGCGCACTAACCAGAAGCGTATAGATAATACGCAGATATATAGATATAGCTTCACATTACTGACTATTAGTATCAATTGTACCCCCATGTACGATTGGAGATCTGCCACTCTTTTCATCACATTAGCTGTGATAAGATATCGTATTATGCCCATGGTAAAATGGCGCTGCACATGAGCACTGAGTTATCACAGCCGCTCTGACTCTGGCAAGATGGCGCCGATTGAGTGCGCATGCGCCATTTACTATATATAAGGACGGCGCTACGGTCATGGCGCTCCTCTGTCTCTACCTCAGAAGAAGTGCGTGCGCACGAAACGCGCCAGTGGGGCCCAGGACATCGTGACATCACGCCGCCGGCGCCACGTGGAGGCCCGGCAGCCATCTTTGATCTTGGAGGCCTTTCAACCTTTACAGCCCCGGTGTGATCCTTATACCAGTTCCAGAGAGGGGGAACGTTTCATGCATCTCTGCAAGGACACTTCTGGCCTGTTGGATCTCATCTTCACCACACGAGGGTGCTTTATCCTTACATTTTCCAGTTCCTAATCTACACTCTGACCAGAAAGAGAGGGGAATCTTCAGGATATCTATATATCTGCGTATTCTCTATACGCTTCTGGTTAGTGTGCATTTCTATCATTTGCACTGGAAAAACAACGAGCACCAATACAGGACTGTATTTCTTGTGTGACCTTCTATTTGTAGTTTACTACTGTCATCTACATTTGCAAATACTATACAGCGCTGCATTTTTTTATATCTGTATTTATATTGGGACTTTATGTGCATTTTCCTTTAATGTTCAGCTGCTGACAGTTTGGAGCTCTCACTGTAGCATTTCTTTCTACATTTCTGTTTTAACCATATTTCAGTTGTTTAGCAGCTCCATTTTATATTGCACCTTTTATATTGCACCTTCTATTATGGAGGACATTTTTGATGTTAGAGCCTCAAGGTCCACTATACCAGACAATATATTCACACAGATCAATGAAACTGAGGATCTTAGGGGATTATTCATTAATTTACATAATCTTACCACTACTGAAATTAAAACTATATGGGATATCTCATTCCTTGAAAAGTATACCAAAGAACAAATGGTTCCCAGAGCCCTTAGATGGGACATTTCCCCTGATACTGATGATACCACTTCCTTAATAGAATGGTATCATTATTTTAACACAGCAGGTGTTGATTTACTTAAATTTTTAATTATTGAGCTGCTGACAGTTTGGAGCGCTCACTGTAGCATTTTTTTCTACATTTATGTAAAATCATTGGCCCAGTACAGGTAGGATTTATGCCAGCAATTGAAGCCAGGGATAACATCACCAATGCCCTACATTTGATGTTTAACCGCTTTCCCGCCACCCTATAGCAGATATACTGCTACAGGGTGGCAGGATGCACAAAATCACTATATATATATATATATATATATATATATATATATGTGATTTTGCATTCTGGGTAAGGGGCACACCCAGGACGCGTGCGCGTCTGACCCGTGCCACCATTTCTGCCCGGGGCTATCAATCACAGCCGGTGATTACCCGTTGGCTCCCGGTGATTACCAAGAATCTCTGACGGGGAGGAGGTTTTGTTTACTAACAGTGCTCTTCCCTGTCAGCTCGGGCACTCTGCTTTGTATGGCTGTGCACAGCATAGCCATCTAAAGTAGTGTACTTACAGTAAAGCACAATGAAAGCACAATGAAATGGCCCCCTAGTAAAACACTCCCTGCACACAATTAACCCTTTGATCTCCCCTCATGTTACTCCCTTCCCGCCCAGTGCCATTGGTACAGTGTCAGTGCTTTCCCCTGTCAGCTCCTGCACACTGCTTTGTATGGTTCAGTAGTGCTTACAGTGGAAAGCACTCACACAGCACACTGTGAAACAGCACACAGTTAACCCTTTGACCGCCTCACATGTTAACCCCTTCCTGCCCAGTGTCATTAGTACAGTGTCAGTGCTTTTTATTAGCACTGATCGCTGTATTGGTGTCACTGGGGATGTCAGTGACACCAAGTCCGTTCCCCCCAGTGTCAGAATGTCCACCGCAGTCCCACTGTAAGTCGCTAGTCGCCGCCATTACTAGCAAAAAAAAAAAATTCCAGTATCTATACCGCCATTTGTAAACGCTATAACTTTCACATAAACCAATTAATTTACACATATTGGGATTTTTTTTTTAGCAAAGACAAGTAGCAGAATACATTTTGGCCTAATTTATGACATTTTATTTTTTTTATTTTTTTACTGGACATGTTTAATAGCAAAAAGTCAAGAAAATATTTTTCTCTCAAAATTGTTGTACTTTTTTTTTTATAGGCAAAAAATAAAAACACACAGGCGATGAAATACCACTGAAAGAAAGATCAATTTGTGGAGAAAAAAGGCCGTAAATTTCATTTGGGTGCAGCATTGTATGACTGCGCAATCCTCAGTTAAAGTAATGCAGCACCGTAGTGCAAAAAATGGCCTGGTCAGGAAGGGGGGTAAATCCTCAAGAGGGCAAGTGGTTAAAGCCCATACAGAGGGCATCAAAGGTCTTTTCTCATCCACTGACGCTGAGAAGGCCTTTGATTATATCTCATGGGACTATATGTTTGCTTCTTGCTCACACATTGGAATTAAAACAAACATGATGAATTGGATCACTCCACTCTACCAAAACCCCACAGCAAAAATTAAAGTAAACAGATTCCTATCCAAGACAATAACTATTAGAAATTGGACTAGACATGGTTGCCCACTCTCTCCCTTACTTTTTATTTTAACCCTTGAACCTTTTATTAGATCAGTCAACCTCAATAACTCTATACAGGGATGCATAACAGCTCACAGGGAATACAAGATTGCAGCCTACGCTGACGATCTTCTATTCTTTTTTCTCAACCTCATACATCTGTTCCAAATCTTCTCAGTTTGTTCAACTACTACCAATATATCTCAAATATCAAGATAAACTATAGCAAATCAGAGACCTTAAACATCTCTTTACCAACAGCATCATTAAATATAGCAAAATAAAATAGCTATTTTAGATGGGTTCCTGATGCGCTCAAATATTTAGGCATCATGCTTACTTCAAAATTAAAAGAGTTATATAAACAAAATAATATACCCTTGGTACAAAGTATTGAAAAAGACCTCACAAATTGGCACCTGAAAATCTTTTCATGGTTTGGGAGGGCAGCCATTATCAAGATGACGATACAGCCCAGAATACTATACTGCATGAATGCACTTCCAATCAAGCTTCCCAGAGTGCGAATATTACAAGCTTCCAATATTTTTTAAAAGATTACAACAGGCACAAAGAACCTTTTTCTGAGCTAATAAAAGACCACGTATCCATTTTCCAGATAATCACACGTTCCAAAGAGCATGGAGGTATGGGTCTCCCATGCTTCGAAAGATACTACTATGCGACATTATTCACCAGAATTATTGATTGGAATTGTCATTCTAAAACAAAGACTGGGTTTATGTAGAACTCTCTTACACTAACCTACCTTTGAGATTCGTACCATGGATCTCACAGGTCTTCTACACCGGACAATTAAAGACTAACCCTATAATTGCTGCCACATTGGAAGCTTTCATAAATTGTCAAAGATTCCAAATTAGCCAATGTCATGGGCCCTCTGACCCCACTAGCTAACAATCTGGAATTTGCACTGGGTATTAACACCAATTCAATCCCCAGGAAAAATCAAGATACCCCCTTACTAGCAACACACTGTTTGAATTCAGGGTTAATGAAAACCAAAACAGAACTACAGAAAACCTGCGGGAACGCAAACATCCCATTTTGGTGCATACCTCCAAATACACAGTTATTTAACAAACCATAAACAAAAAAGACTCCCACCCTCTCACAGAATTAGAAAAAATCTGTCTCAAAAGGGGCTAACATATGTAATACCATCTCTTTGGCTTATTCTTGGCTTTCACAAAAACATATTCAAAGCCCAGACAATTTTAAATTACTCTGGGAAAATTCACTAGATATAGAAATTACGGATGACCAATGGAAAACAGCTTGCACACTCGCACATAAGTGCTCTATCAACACACGGATGCAAGAAACATCTTATAACATTCTCCTAATAAACTAAGGAGGTGGTTCCCCAAAATCATTCTGAAGTGTCCCGTGTACATGGGGCCTTATACTAATATGTAAATTTGATCATTTTGCACCATTAATTGTCAGGGATCCGGGTATGACCAGAAATGTGTGGGAACACAGGCGTAGTCAGGGCTGGAGAGGTGGAATGGTCAGGCAGGCCATATGGGTCTGTAATGCACTGCCTGGCGGTACCTCTAGCAACCCAGGGAATAGGACTCCCCAGAGTGCGAAGTACAAGTCCCATTCTGCTTGTTCACCAGGGCCCCTGATGGTGGGGCTGGACTTGGAGCAGACAGAGACCAGGTCGCGGCCCCTGAGTACACCTACCCGTGGTAGAGGGATCCGCCAGAGATATATTCTGTAGGAGAGCCTGACATGAAGAGGCAGATGGGTCCATGCAGGACGGATGGATTGCTGAGCAGAAGCGTGGTCAGACAGGCCGGGTCAGTAACGATGGGGACAGCGCAGTACAAGGCAGCAGGCACAGAATTGCCGGTCACTCGCCGGGTCAGTAACAGGAGATCAGATCCAATGAGGGTATCCAAAGAGAAGTCAGACAGGTCAGGGATCAGGGCAGGAGAAGTCAGCAGATGTCAGGATCAAAGTAGGGTCAGCAACAAATCAGATAGGCAGATATGCAGGAACACAGGATACCAGGTATAGGGGCTCATGGGAAACAAACACCAAGGCACTGATTGCAGGCCTGGTCCTGCTTAAATAGATCTCCTGCAATCAGCCTCAGGTGATGGCTTGATTGCAGGAGTGAGACCCTGGCTGCTGAAAGCACCCTCTGGTAGGAGCTGGTACTGCAGCCCACGGAGCAAGTGAGCCACAGCACCACCAGTGGTGAGTCCATTCCTGACATTAATGTTGCCTGTGTGAAGAATACATAATCAAAGTATTTGCCTTAATAGTTTTGAGATGTGGTATGAGAATCCATCTCTTAGTCCCATTCAGTAACGGGCAAGTTTATCATCAGTAGATGTTTGGCTACTTCCTGCAGCAACCAGAGGCACACAGGCAATTTAGTTCACTTATTGTTTGATCAGTGAACAGACAAAGTCACCATGAACTTGGGTCCCATCCTTGCTGCCAAGTAATTTGGTGCAAAACTGAGCTATATAAATCCATAGGTGTCAAAACACAACCTTGAAGATGAAAGTTACTTTAAAAGAGTTTATAAATTAAGTAAAAAACACTATTCTATCTTCTTTGATCAAAAATTCTTCAATATGGTCATTGTGAGAAAATATTTAGTTCCACCTTTATATTTATCATAAAAAACTTTGAAAAAAATACTGATTCCCCAGCTTCAGATACTACGGCCAATAAATGATATGTCTTATTTGAAAATTATTTATCATGTTTTTAGGAATGTGTGCCTTTTATCATTCTATCAATCAATACCTTGCACACAAAGCCAGCCAAATATCAAGGTAAATGATTCATACAGTCGTGAATAGGAACAGATGACATATCTATTTATCAATCTAAAAGAAGTATTATTTCTGATAGAACATACTGTGTGCGGTTTTGCTATATCTATTGTAAAGGGATTGCACACTTTTCACATACTTCAATTCCTTTTATTTTTCTCCCAGTATTTTGTCCTTCTGTAAAATACAATTTCCCCCAAGAATAATGAGCTCAGTATATGGTGAAGAGAAGAAAAGAAAGAAACTGAGCTGCATGGCAGTTGGTTACAATGGCACAACATGATATAAAATATTAAAATATGTGGAGGGATTTATTTATTTTATACATGTGATGTTATGTTGCATGTACTACAGATAAAGGGTCCATTAATTCTAAAATCCCACTGGTGTTTACACTTATTTATACAATATGTTCATATTATATTTAGTTCAACAGGATGATTAGGATAATATGAATTCCTTCATAAATATTTATTTACAGGTAAACTCATTTAGAAAGCAAGTAAAATCTAAGAAGAATATTTTAATGATACAGAATGAGTTATCCAAATAAGATTGACAAGTTTCTGAGCACCTTAATAGCTTTGCTATTTGCATTTCCATCATTTGTGCCAAATATCAATCCTTAAATGTATATCATACCCATATCAATGCAGTGGTGAATGTGGATCTTTATTTCCTCACTGAGGATGACCTTTAAATTCATTATACAGCAGATCCAAGCACACAGGTTAGCAATTCTATATTGCCTGAAGGTGTAAGTACCTGACTCTCCTGGCTGTATTGTAACACCTTCCTTCACAGGAACATTATGTGACATTTATACAGCTGACATGTGCATACTACAAGGTTGACTTAAAATCAACTCTGTTGTTATTGGCAGTTATTGGAAGATATTTAATAAGAGCAAAAACAACACCCCTTAACTTTTTTTGAATTTCTTTTTTAGGCCATCCACTTTTTATAGCCATCTGCTCCAATAATTTGTACATTTCACATGGTTTTTACAATAATATAGCCAAATAAACAGCAGTCAAAGGTAGACCTTAAAAAAAGGGCAAATGGCAGTGTTGAAGTTTGAAACTGGGGTGAATGTAGTGATGCAACAATGAGTAGCGGGATTTAGAGGAATGAAATAGAATAGATAGAAAGTTTTGGTTCGTATTTCAATTTTCGGCATGTCACACTCATACATATACTACAGCAACTTTCACAGCTTTTTTAATGAAGATAAAATATAAATGTTCCATATATTGGCAATGAATGAATAAAGCAATAATTTTACAGTGGCTTAACAAACAAATGTCAATTTCATATACTCAATAAGCATAACAAGACATCAAAGAGTCATTGACAGAGATTTTATCTAAACTTAATTAGATGTTTTAACTTGTGTAAAAAAGAGGCAATTTACAGTTTACTCATTTACCATATTAACATAAGTGTTCTGTTTCAACTCATTTATGATCATAATTTTTAAAAGATCAGAAAGTAATGAACAGTGTGCAAATTGGTACAGAGCCAGCTTAAAGGAAAT